GAAAAATAAGAACCAAGAGAGATTATGTAAAGGTGCAAATTTCCAATGATGAATATCATTATATTGTATACCTAAAATGTACCAATGATTAGAATGAATAACTGATAATGGAAAATAGGAAGAAAAGGTCCAAAGGGGTAGGGGAAGTGGGAAGGGAAAAGGAAAGGAAAGTAGGGAAAGGAAAAATTATGAGAAATGGAAAATATGGAAACAAAGTCTTTGTAAACAGGGAAGGGAGGGCTAGGAATGGGGAAAAAATAAGAACTAAGATGCATCATGTAAAGGTACAAGTTCCCAATGAGAAATGTAAATGTGCTATATACCTAAAATGTTCCAATAAAAGAATTAAAAAAAAAAAAAAAAGAAACCTTGGGCAAACCCTTAATATGTAAGTAACTGATAAAATAAAAACTGGTCCACTAGTCCAAATCTCAATCTAAAAAAGGACAATCTAAATTCTTTTAATACATTTTTAGGAAACTACAACAACAATAATTGCTGTAATATTTTGAGCACTTTGTGCCAGACACAGAGATAATTACTTTGTCTTACTTTTTCTATAATAATAACTTTGATTTAGTTCTACCCATTTTATAGATATTTTTTGGTTCATAAAACTTATAATACTATTGAATACATTGGACGGAATGACTGCCTCTTTGGGTGAATGAGGCTTCTGTCATACTCTGATCACTCATTTAATACTCTGCTCTACTAAAGCACAGCTAAGCTACAGCCTGTGAGGAATATACAAAGGCATTTGGTGGGGTAAACAGCAAGCAAATAGTCACTCTTGATTTTAGCTATCTATGTAACTAGAAATCTTTATTTATCTTCAAGGGTATGTAAAATAAGCCAATTATTTCTGGGTTTGGTTCTTGCTTTTTAGGCTTACAAATGTTTCAAAGTGAATTATTTATTTCTTTTCTTTTTTTTTTTTTGTGGTACCGGGGATCGAACTCAAGACCTTGCACTTGCAAGGCAGGCGCAATGCCACTGAGCTAAATCCCTGGCCCTGAATTACTTATTTCTTGTTCTACTGTAATTTTTATTTCTATCACAAACTCACAGACAATACAACAGCATAAATTTGAATCTATATGTTTTCCTTAAAGTTGTTCACGTGACACTCCTGTTTCTGCCTTCACCTTCTGCCCACCTCTCAAGTACTACTAGTCACTTGAAGTTACCAACTAGAGGTAAAGGCATGGTTGAAATGAAATTTGAAAGGCTTCTTGATGACGTGCCCTAAACCATCAAGCCTTTACCACACTTACATTTAATGTAGATGTGTTTGATGTTTTGGATAGTCATAATACTTCAAAATATAATGCAGCCACCCTGTTAAGAAATGCATCAGTAAGACTTAAAATTTTTCTAGCTTTCTCAAGCTGCCATTTTGTTCTAATATACCTTTTATTCTGCAGCCCAAGATGATGTTTCTAAAGTGGGCAAAGTTTTGGCCTAAATAGAAATCTTGCCCCAACTTTTTATATTTAAGGTTTTGATTTAAATAGCCCAATAAAGGGCTTAAAAACACAAGGTGACCAGGTCAATAAAAAATATGAATAATCAAGTATATCACTGTTCATATAATTCTCTCATTCTTTAAATATGTTACCAATTCAGAAACCTAAATTCAATATTTTTGTCTTACACATTATTGCTTCCAGTGACGTTTTGGAAGTCTTTTACTGTTCAAGCCATGTAGGCACCTTAAAAATTGAGATAAATTATATAATGTAAATATACTAAAAAAGCCACCTGGTTCTAGGGTGATACAAGACCCATCACCAAGAGGGCAGCATATCTGTGTAGTGCTTTTTTTTTTTTTTGAGACAGGGTCTTACTATGCAGTTCAGGCTGGCCTTGAACTCACTATAGCTGAGGCTGGCCTTGAACTTGCAGCGATCCTCCTGTCTCAGTCTTCCAAGTGCTGGGATTACAGGCATGTACCACCTTGCCTGGATTGTGTAGTACATTTTTAAAAAGAAAAATGGATGGATGCACCCATTAGTCATGGCTTCATAATGCTCATAAGCCTGATGTTATTATATCGGCATAATAACTGAAATTGCAAATATGAGGTGGTTACCTTGTTAATTTCAGTTGTGTTACAACAGTAATCCTTACTGAGAGGTAAAAGATCATTTAAGAATTTAAGACTTTCCCCTAACCCTTATATAATAGTGCGTTAAATCTTGGGAAAAAAAGGTTTTTGTTTGATTAAAAATTTTACTTTGAGAATCATTATCAATTCTTCCAAGCTTGCCTCACCATATCAATCTAATTTTAACTAAAAAAGTCCAACTCAGAAATTACTAAAGTACAGTAATTTGAACCATATAAATGCCAAATTGATACTTTTTATTTATCACTTGCATGCCTAATGACAGGTCTGGAAATGTCACTTTCCTGGCAGTCAAATGTTATTGCACAATGTCATGATAAGCACAGTACTGTGAGATATAGTTTAAATGAGGTCAGCAGGTTGCCTTCCCAAATTTGAGGTTATACATATTAAAATAAATTAGGGAGGAAATTACTTACTACTGACTGCTTATTCTCTTTTGAAAGACATGCAGTGTTCTTAACATACTTAAATGAGGGGATTGGAAAAACCATTAAAAATTTACTGCTCTAATTTTTGTAGTGGTGCATCTTGAATATCTGTATAGAATTTTAATTTATAAATCAATAGGCTCAGCTGTGTAGTACAGTGATAGAATGCTTGCCTACTGCACACAGCACTAGGTTCAAACTCTGGCACCGCAAAAAAAAAAAAAGTTTTTGTATACCTCCTTCATGAACATTTCCTTGTTAAATTCTAGTTCCTATTAAAAAGCTAGAAAATATTACATGAAACAGTTAGAAAAAGAAACAAGCATGTACATACTGTTGCAATAAATAAATAAATAACCCCATACAGTAGTTTACATATATGAATGTATGATTTGCTATTTGGTCACCAAACTTTATAGCAGCTTTTGTAGTCAATAAAAAATAAAATCATGAAAGACATGTGACATAATAACTCTAATAAGAACAATACTGTTTTGAAAACATAATAAATATAAAAGCAAAACATTAAGCTAGTGAAATGAAGATCAATCTATTCTTTTATCAGAAAAATAAAACTTCAATTCAAAGTGTTTATCTTACCTTTATCTGATTTTTGACTCTCAACCTAACTTATACAATGAGAAAAACAGTAGATAATTATAAAAGACAGATTATAATATCTTACCATACACTCCTTTGTCTAAAAGTAGTAAGAATTCATCCACAGCATTACGCATCTCATATTCGGTTAGATCCAGCAATGAAACGACTTTGAAATCCAGCTGTCTTAACAAGTTGGTCAGCTCATACACATCCACCAAGGGAGCTTTAAGCTTGGGGTGTTCCCAGTAATTCATATTTCCTATCAAAAGAGCAACTTTGTCTTTTGCTGTAAAAAGGGGGGAGGGTGTTAAAGGGAATATAAAGATTAAAACCTATGGAAATGGTATTATTATAAAGACAAAGTTTGCTTTAATTTCAAGTAAGAGTTCATTATTATTTTCATTTTAGCACTACTACTTTATATAACAGACCAATACACTGAGGAACATGTGAGGCTAAAAATATCAAATAGCTGAAATTAAACTTATGAATGCTTCTGAGAACCAGGCAGAAGGTATTTGTTAGCTGTATATGGTAACAAATATTGAAGTATACTTTCACTGAATTTCAAAAACGTAAGAGAATATTCAACTAAACATTTAGAGCCCATTTCAATAAGAAATATTTATAACTGGGTCCCATCAAATTAGGTCGTATTTTTCAAACAATAGAAGAGGAAAAAACAAAACAAAACAAAAAACCCTAGAAGAGGGACAGGAAGAAGACAAATCAAAGCAAGCAAGGGGAAAGGCCTGATAAAAGTAGAACTCCACAAGGACTGTGTTGTTTTGCAGTAGATGTATAGATGGACTATCTTCTCTCAGCTTTAAAAATATTTCCCACTGGACTGCCATGAGGCTGCTTGAGGAACTCAAGACTTTCTGAAGGGATGTCTTTTAACAGCTCATTTTCTTTTTTCTTTTTCGGTACTGGGGATCAAACTCGGGTCCTTGCGCTTTTGAGGCAGGTAGCAGAACCACTGAGCTAAAGGCCCGGCAACAGCTCATTTTCTAAACTTAGTGCTATGACACTGCTCAAAGATCATTTTTGTTTGTCTGGTTTTTTTTTTTCTTCTTCTTCTTCTTCTTTGCAATACTAGGCATTGTAACCAGATCCTTTACACCAAGCTACATCCCCAGTCCTTTTTATTTTTTGAGGCAGGGTCTTCCTAAGGTGCCCAGGCTGGCCTGTGATCCCCTCAGCCTTCCAAGTAGTTGGAATTATAGGTGTGCACCACCACACCCATCTAAAATAGTAGGTTCTGACAGAATCCGTGGGGAAGGAGTACATATGCCTTAAAAAGATCAGTTATTTAAAGCAGCAATGTGGCCTGCCCTACACAGTAGGGAATGGTGAATACAGCTTAGTAATGAAGAGGTTCAACAGTATACCTTTTTATGAAGGTCTGGGGTGGGGTCAAAGGGTATACACAAACCTACTGAGCTGCCAGTCATATAAAAGTATAGCACATATAAAATGTAATTCTTGATGATGATAAACAGCTATGCTACTGGCTTATATATTATCTTACACTTTCCACTGTTATTTTATTTTTAAAATTATTGTTAAAGTATATGCCTTTTACTTAGTACAAAAAGTTTATTGTATAATAGTATGTGATGTTATGCTGGCAGCAGGCTCATACATGTCATTTTTGTTTACTGCATGTCTTGATTGCACTGGGGCCACACTGAATAACTAACTTAATGACACATTTCTCAGAAAATATCCTCACTGTTAAGTGACACAAACTGCATTTGGGAAAGAACAATACAGTTTACAGAATGCAAGGGCAGAACAATCTGAGAAAATCTTAAAATGTATCAATTATGAAGCATGATAATTAAAAACTTTAAAAATCTTTTCAATGATAATTTTTAATAGCTAGCTCCTAAGATGTTTAAAATATTTTTTTGAATTTAATGTTAAGAACGATGGTGGGTAAGTAAATCTTACCTTGCCCAATCTAATTGTGAAGCAGTTCCTGGATGCCAGGAGAACTAGGGTGGATGTAGAATACAGAAGCAGAGGCTGCAGTTGAAATAAGAACTGACACTCATTCCAGGAAATTGGTGTAGAAACGGAAAAGAAGAGTCAGACTTTAGAGACAGGACACAGAAAGGAAGAATAAAATCTGAATTTCAGGAGATAAGAGAGAGAAACAAAGAGAACTTCAAAACAGTATCTATATAAGCAATTCCACGTAATAAATGCAAGAAATTTTTTATAAAAACATTTACTGTCAAAGCCACCCACAGCTTCTTGACCACAAGTCATTTATTGGAAAAAGGAAATGTGGAGCTAGGCATGCACCTGAGTGGTGCAGCATGTGTTAACATGCACGAGGCCTTTAATTTAATCTCCAGCACACACAAAGAAAAAGCCAGTTGATTATGCAAAAGAATAAAACTCTTTAGAAAGATATTTTAACTACATGATCCTAAACATCTTCTAGAACTTAGTGCAGTGTGTTCAAAAACTGTCATAGAATTATAGCATTCATTCCACATCTAATAATTCTAATTATTATGTTATTTGTCCAAAATAAGTTATTATTCCCAAGCATTTAGAAAAGGGCCTGGTAGATATTAAGTGGTATTACATATTTGTTAAATGAAAACTATTTTTGGATATTCATCAACTTTTGAGTATTAGCATCAAATCTGACTGGTTGATTATACATTTGTTACTCTAAAATTTTTAGTTCTAGATTTTTAAATGACTTTCCATGTTCTACAAAATTAGGTCCAAGTTCCTCGGTTTGGCATACAGAGCCATTTGCAGTCTAAGCCTACCTTTCCAGTGGCGATAAGAGACTGCCCTCAAGCAACCAAGATACCCTTGCCCTATGTGGTTTTGTCAGCTCCAACCCTGAACCTGTGGCTTTCTCTGAGAACACGACGTGGTGTGGTACTGCCAGTTGTGGGTCTAAGCCTTAAGTCCTGACAGCTTCCACTTTGGAGATCCAGCAGATAAGTCAAGAAGGAAGAAGAAATAGAGGGAAGGAAGTCTTTAACCATCCTTATTAAGATAGCAGGTATTCAAGCAAAGCCACCTTGGATGTTGCAATCCCAGTCACCAACTGACAGTAACTATGTAAGAGACAATTATCTGCTGAATCCAGCCAACCCACAGAATCATGAGCAATAATAACTGCCTGGAGAGATCACATCCTCTATAATCCCAGTAGTGAGAGGTTGAGGCAGGAAGATCAGGTTTGAGCCTAGACTGGGCAACTCAGAGAGACCCTGTCTCAAAATAGAAGGTTGAAAAAGAAAAAAAAAAACTTGCAGCAGCCACTGAATGCCATGTGAAGTAACAAACTAGTTTTGGTTTTTTCTCCCAGTTTTTATGTTATGTAATGTATTTAAGCCCTTATTTAAATAAAACTTGTTTTCAGAAAAAAAAAGGCTTCAAGTTCAATCTGTAGTACTGAAAGGGTGGGGGTGGGGAGGCCATTGGGGCTACAGCTCAATGGGAAGGCCCTGAATTCAAACCCCAGTACCACAAAAACAAACAAAAAACCCCAACAAACCGAAACAACAAAAAACTCATGTTATATTTGAACTAGTGAGCTTTTAAGTTTTAGAATAATGCTATTCCCCAAAGATAACTACAGTTCAATCCCCACTAGTCCTTCCCTAGGACTCTGCTTCCAGCAATACTGACTTGTCTGTTCCTCAATCACACCATCTAGTACATGCTTCTATTACTACCATACCTTTGCCCTTCTGTCTCAAATACCTACTTGGGTCTCCCAATCTACCCTTGAAAATCTGCACTTGGGCTTTGCCTCTTTAGCCTTCTCTGATTCTCCTAGACAAATCTTATCACTATTTTCTATGAATAATTTCTAGATTCTTTACCTATTTCTACTATGCCATGTGTCATACATCTATTTTTATTACACTTGATTTTAGCCAAAACGCCAAGAAACAATGCACCATCTATTTTTTTTTTTTTCTTTTTTGGTACTGGGGATCGAACTCGGGTCCCTGCACTTGCGAGGCACACAGCAGAACCACTGAGATAAATCCCCGGCCCACACCATCTATTTTTATTATGGCATGTATCATGTACTGTATTATTCTCTTAATATCTGCTTTCTTAAGATTGCAATGCCCTTAGCTCAGGAATCAAGGTGTATTCTCTTACTTCATAAAGGGTAGCCACATAGATGAACCACTTGATAAATGTTTGGTGAACTTCATGATAAAAGTTGACTATGCAACATGCACATCTTTTTGTTTATGTTTATTTACATGTTGCCAGAACACAAAAATCACTCTACAGAAGGTGACTTGGCCCTAGAAATAGAATTTATAATGTTTTTTTTTTAGTGGTATTGAGGATTGGTCCCAGGGCCTTGATGCATGCCAGGCAAGTGCTCTACAACAGAGCACACCACAGCCTTTTCTTTTTCTTTTTTTTGATTAAGTTTATGGTACACTTCAGGTATACAATACAGTTACAATCATCACTGGGATCTTGTACATTTACATGATGTATCTTGGTTCTTATTTTTTCCCCATTCCCTGCCCTCCCTTCAACCCCTCCACCCTTTCTTGTTTACAAAGACTTTGTTTCTATTTTTCACTTTTCTCATGTTCATAACAGCCTTTTCTAAACGTCTGAGACGGGGTCTTACTAAGTTGCCCAGGTTAGTCTTAAACTTGAGATTCTCCCGCCTCAGCCTCCCCAGTAGCTGGGATTACATGGATGTGCCACCATGTCCAGGTAATTTGTAATCATTTCTAAGCTTCCTCTTTTATAATTTCTTTTACAATTATCAAATATAAAAATTTGGTCCCAATGTTATTCAAATGTTTATAAAAGCAATCAAGTTAAAATAGTTTAAATTCCCTCATAGTCACCATAAAATAGAATTAAATACAATAATTGTATGTAATTATGTACTTTAAACTGTACTCACCCAAAGACTGGTCAGTTGTTTGCTCTTTATTGTCTATACCAAGATAAAAAAGGACAAGATGTTATTATCATGAGATAAATATTTTCAGAGCTAAAGATATAAGAAAAGCAATGAATGAAAACATCATCAGCATCAATAAAATACAGTAGAACAGCAGTTACTAGGGACTGGAAAGGGAAGCAGGTGTGGTGAGAAGGGAGACAACAGCCACTAAAACAGAGGCAAGAAGTAGTTTTAATGTCACCTACCACAACAGGGCAACTATAGTCTCCAAAACTAAACATTCAGAATTGTGAGAAGTGTTTGAAGGTTCCCCAAACATGGAAGCGATAGTATTTGAGATGGTTATGCTAATTACCCCAATATGATCATTACACATTATATACATGTATCAGATTACAACACTGTACTCCATGAATAAGTACAAATATATGTCAATTAAAAATTTAAAAAGAAAAATATATAATACAGATGCTGATAGTTAACTTACAATTTTAAGATTTTCAGAGTTTTAAAAATGAAAACATACAAGGAGAGATAGAATTTGAATCAAGGGGGGATAATAACTTTGGTAACTGACCAAGAGCATGGGGTAATAATCCTTAACATTCTAGTAGCAAGTACAATCTGAAAATAGTGATGATATCCAGAATAATAAGTAGCAGCAGCAGCTGTTGACATTTATGGACACTTTATCCGGCACTACTCTACATTCTATCAAACAGATTTAATTAAACGTCACTCTACCCAAACAGATATGTTATTATTAGTTCTATTATATAAATAAAGACACTGAGGCAGAGAGATTAAGTTATTTGTCCAAAATTGTTAAGTTAGTAATAGCAAATCTGGATTCTAACTTAAGTCTCATTCCAAATTCTACATTTTTAATTTCCTTCTTTTTTTTCCTTTGTGATATTTGGGGTTGAATCCAGGGCCTTCACACTGAGTTACATCTGCAGCCCTTTTCTGAAACAGGATCTCACGGAATCACTAAACTGTCGGGCTTGAACTTGGAATCCTCCTGCCTATGCTTTCACCATTACTATACATAACACAAAATCCCTCGTACCCTCAAGCACCACCAGGAAGAGATGTAGGTAAAGATCAGTCTGTGGTGTGTCCATTACTATAGAGAGGGGAATTCTGTTTGCATGTTTAGTAACAAAAATAGGCTATGGGAGTCTATTATATACATTCCCCACATACCACTTTTTTTGTGAACTCAAATTTTGGCATCTTTGAATCTTAGGAAGTATGGAAAAAGGGGTCAAGAAAATTTTAGAAGGTGGGTATATGCAAAAGTTTTTGTGAAATAACTTCATAATATCTGATAAAGAAGGGCAAGAAATAACTAATTTAGGAAAAGGGATTCTATCTAGACCAAGAGACACAATTACTAGGATGGCTCAACAGTATATAGTTTTGAATGCTTGAATCAAGTCTCACTGAGGCTTTGTATGAATTCCAGGATACTACAGCAAGGAGAATGATATGTTGGTAATGGTGGTTTTCTGTTTTGTCTAATTTACTTATATATAGTCAATACAGTCAAAACAGCATTTACAATAATACATGTTTATTAACCAAACATGAAACTAGGAAAGCTGGGGCTGGAGGTGTAGTTCATGGTAGATCCTAGCATATACAAGGCCCTGGGTTCAATCCTAGAACTGGAAAAAAAAAAAAAGGAAGGAAGAAAAGAAGGAAAGGACAAGAGAAAGAAAGAAAAAGAATCTACAAACTAATTATGGTGCTAAAATAGTAATGAGAAATAGTAGGGCTTTCTACAAATATTAAATAAGTGCCTTGTTAATATATTCTTTTTTTTTTGGTTTTTTGTGTACCGGGGATCGAACTTGGGTCCTTGCGCTTGCACAGCAGGTGGCAAAACCACTGAGCTAAGTCCCTGGCCCTGTTAATATATTCTTATAAAATTTTATTTTCAAATTGATCCACAGGTTCTATCACAGTATTTCAGAATGCCCATAACCTATGTTGAAGTCCTCAGTCTGCACATATTCCTCACTACTGATATTCCTCTTATCTCAGTTAAAGGCTTTCCCTTTAACTTAGCTCGTAAGAAATTTGTTCTAATTACAATTGGCCTGGGCAGTTCTGCATACTTCTGCCAACAGTCAATCTGTTAATGGCCACTAATCAACCAGTGTGCACAGGGCAAGCTATTCTCACTTTGCTTCAGGTGAAGGAACCTACCCAACTACTTCAGATGTATTTATCTGAGCAACAAAGGTTCAGGTCTGACCAGTTCAGAAACATGACCTGTCACTCTTTCACACGTGCTTCCCGTCTTCCAAATTAAAGATCATGCACTTTCCCCTTTAACTTCCTTTGTATGATATAAAAAGTAACACACAATGATAAAAAACACATTGACATTTTATATTGCCTCATGTTGCTTTCTACTTTTATGGTTTTATGATCAAGAATATTTTTGTTTCACTTGCACGAAACTGAAATTCATATAAATAGCAATTTCAACCCTAAATTATAAAGAAAAAGTTACTAGGATTATTATAGCAAAAGAGTGTCTACAGGATCTTTATTGTATTTAACAAGTTAAAAATCTAAAACCAAAACATTTTATGTTTGCATTACTCACCAGAATGGCCAAAATTACTTAATTCATCTAAAATAAAATAAGAGAAAATAGATTAATCTGTCAATTTAGCACAAATAAAATAATAAAAGTCATCTTAAATCATGTAATGTTTCATCAATTTAGAACTTTTTAAATTAAATGAGGGACCGGTGATTTAGCTCAGTGGCACCATGCCTGCCTTGAAAGCACAAGGTCCTGAGTTTGATCCCAGCACACACACAAAAAAATTACATTAAATGAACAAGCCATGCAAATACTGAAAAGGAAAGAACACTGTTGTAAACTTCGTTTAGGACTTCCAAGCTATTGTTGCTTTCATTAAATGATGAAAAGATATTCATTATTTGCTCAAAGTTTGATATTCTAGCCAATTATGGGACAGAAATGGTCAAAAGATAGGTCTGTCTGTAGCCTCAACTATTAACCTGTTAAAACTAATTAATCTCAAGTAATCTTTTTTCTTAAAAACCCCTTTACTTTTAGAACATAAGATTTATAGAACTATTTCAGGAGAGAGTAGAGGGTTTCTGTATATCTTAAGCCTAGTTTCCCTAGTATCTTATGTTTGTATGATATATTTATCACGACTAATGAATTGTTCAAATTCCTTTTTTATGGAGGACTCCATTTAGGATACCACATGCATTACTGTTTCCTTAGGTACCTCTTGATTGTAACAGTTGCTTAGATAGTCCTTGTTTTTCATGACCTTGAATATTTAGAGTAGCAACTGGTCAGGTATTTTGTAGAATGTTCCTTAACTGGGATTTGTCTGATGTTTTCCTCATGGTTATTCATGGTTTCTCAAGGTGTGATGTACTTTAGGAAGGTAGAGTGGTTTCAAATTTAACCTGTATGCCCTATGTTTCTTATCATGCCTAAAGGATAGTTAAATAATCAAAGTAAATGTCACTGACACATAGCTTCTATTTTTTCTTTACAAATTTTATGAAGATAAAAATTAACATTAACAATATATTGCAAAAATTACACTATACATAAAATATTATAAAGGAACTTTATATTCTCACTTACACATGAGAGTCTAAGTGGCATCAACCAATGCAAGGGTTATACATAATTTCTTCCACCTTTGGTATTACTGATCAGACTCACTTCTAGTTACTTAGCTAGGCGTTTTCTTTCACCTGTCATCAATGAGGCTGTTCCATACACTTGTAACACACTTAAATACTTTTGTCATATTCTGCACTCCATCTTGGCTACCCCCTTCTTTTTGCCTAATGATTTTTAAAATTTGTACATGTATATTTGCCATTACAGTTATCATACAGGCTAGTTTCAGGGTTTTCCTGAAACTCTCTGAACTTCACCTATTCAAGCTCATTCCCTGTCCTAAACCAAGACCTTTAATGAAATAGAAAATATTAAATAGAGCGCACTGTGTTCTATAGGTTAAAGAAGGAAATAATGTTAAGACATGGTTCATAATACATGTCTATCTACCTTAAATTTAAAAAAATCTCAGTTTAAGTAGGTTTTTTGAGAAAAAAAGTTGCACCTGGTTTTTCCATCTGAAATTTTTAGATTAACTTTATCACTAGACTTTCATCTGTTTCTGAATAGTTACTTGAAATTATTGTTTAAGGTTTTACCACTCAAAAATAATCAGATGGTGAACTATGCAGGTATACAAGCAGCCTCATATGGATCAATCTGAAGCTAAACAGCAGTGCTCACTTAATTTATTCTTAAGTCTTCAATATTAGGAAATTTAAAAAAACATGCAATTAGGCAAAAAGGAGTAAAGAAAGGAAGACATGGTTGATCAAGATTTCTTCACATGGCTTTCCTCATGCAGAGTTCATAGACTGGGACTGGAGCTCTCTTATGGGACAATTTCTGTTTACAACTATGTATCAGAAATGAAAACAGGAATTGTAGTATTTCAAAGTGATAGCACAGAGATACGAAGGAAAGAAAAACTAGGAAACATAAGATTTAACAGTGTTTTCTTACTCTATCCAAGCAGAGCCTAAGGGTTATGTAAAAGTCTGAAGAGGCAGCAATTGAAAAAATACTTCGCTATCCATAAACCATTTTGCAAACCAATGTGACATCACAGTAACAGAAAGCGATCTAAGTTTAATATTTATCATTTGATCATTATAATTTAAGCACAATGCTTTGGTTAATTAAAAGAAGACAGAAGTTTATGTTGAAATAAATTTTGAGTTTTGTTTACATATTGTGGTAAGGGTAACATGACAATCTATAGCCTATTAGCTTCAAAACAACCTTATCAATATTATTTTCAGAATACTTACTACTTGATAAAACACGTTAATAAAGCTGGCCTGAAACTTTTACAGAAACCATATTTATATTTAAGGGGCATCTTACTAGGTAAAGAATCATCTAAACAAATATCCACGGCTATTTATTTTATAAATTTATGAAGATAAAATTAACTTAAAGAATTAATCATAAATGTTCATTACTCAAAATATGTTGTGCATGAGCTTTGCTTTTATGTGCACTAAAAACTGAACATTAGTTATGGAATGTGTGTCAGTTTAATAGTGTCTGTGGCAATTTATAAAACTTCAAAGACTAAGATTAAACATCCTTCAATCGAAACTGTTTGTTAGAGCTAGTATTTTTTCCATCACTGCACTCAGTAAGATAGAGCACTCCACCAGTCCCCAGAGTAACCAGCATGCAGGAGGCTTGGTCTTGAACCAAAGAATTACACTACCTTCAGTGCACTCCACTGCCTCATCTGTTCTTCCTTGTTTCGGAGAAAACAAATTTGATTATATTATAATTCATGATCTTAGGAAGGGTAGCCATTAAGTGAACAGCAAGATAAGTATCACAGAAATATGCTGGCAAACCAAATACATGCATCAAAATCGTCTACTGCTAACAGCACAATGATAAACATTAAATATAAGTAGAACAAACTCCTAAATCATGTAGTTCATAATGGGGATTGTTGGTTAATAATCATTCTTTCCTTTATGCCTGTGATGGTTGTTTTTTAGACTGTTTTATTAAAAATCTTTTTCACCAAATCAAATTTTTTGTAACCAAAGCCTTGAAGACTATATTTTTGTCACAAATACTTAAAATAAATAACACTCAAAAACAACCAAAGTGATCTAAAAGCAGCTTTTTTCCTTTCTTTTTGCTAGGGTATGAATTTAGTATGCGTTCTCTCAAATTTCTATGCAAACAATATTAACTCCTGATATTAAAGACACAAACAGTATGAGTCAACAAAGTAGAATTTCCTTTGCTTATATATGTCAGTTTATATAGTTTATATATATTGCACTTTGAAGAATAGTGAGTAATGCTTACCTATGATGATTTCTACCTTCATACTGTCTTGACTATCTCGATCATTATATACATGACACCAGTAGGTTCCTTGATGTTCCAAATCCACATAAGGCACCTATATCAGTATCAGAACACATACATATTTCCTCTTCAATTTTAATTTTAATTGCCTTAGAGAAAAATCATCTTCTGTTTAAAATTTTTTCAAAACATAACATTTCAAAAGTTTAGACATTCTTTTTTTTGGTGCCGGGGATCGAACTCAGGACCTTGAGCTTACGAGGCAGGTGCAGTGCCACTGAGCTAAATTCCCGGCCCGAGTTTAGACATTCTTAATCTACTTTCATTACGCTAAATATTAGCAAGCAAATCGTATGATTCCAATATTAGTGAATCTGGTACAATATTATTTGACATTTTAAAATGCTGAATTCTAGCATTTTTGCAAATACCAGAATCAATTTTAAATCACAAGAGGCCTGAAATAAAAATACTGAAAATATTACAACACCCCAAAGAACATAAGTTCAGTGTTCACTGTACATTTTAATCACACTATTTTACATATTAACCCCAGAATATACCCCCAAATGAACTACTTACCATGTATACCTTTTTTGTCTCATGTGTTAGTGGTGATTCATTTTTGAACCACTGGTAGTGAGGAATAGGGCTTCCAATAGCAACACACTGTAAAACCAATGTGCTTCCTGGCATTAGCTTCTGGGACTTTGGTTCAACACAGATTTGCAACTTGGATTCATCCCAATGTTCTTAAATTAAAAGAAAAAATAAAATCTCCAGGTTAAAATAAAAACAAATTTTCCTATAATTAAAAAAATTGATGTGTCCAAGTTTACCCCTCAATCTTTATAATCTTTCATCAAACTGTAGCACTCCCAGAAATATTAAGAGATATTCTGTGGATAAAGAATGCTATGGACAAGTTTATAAAATTCTGAGATAAAGTTAGCAGGCAGGCATATTCAAGAAAACAGAAGTAATGGGGAGAAACTAAGCTTGTGCATGAAGAGAGGTTAACAGGCCATGAAAGCTGGCAGGCTTGAGGAGCTCAGCTGCAGGGACCAGACTGAGAAGGTTCAATGTCACCTTAGGGATTTGCACATGCACACTCACACAGATAAAGACAAAGCTCACAGGATTAAATCTTTTTTATTTTTTTCCAGCACCACGGATTGAACTCAGGACCTTGCACTAGTGAGCCAGGCGTAGTGCCACTGAGCTAAATCCCCGGCTGGATCAAACCTTAATAACTAGAGATACTGTCTTAGGTAAAATACATACATGAAATTTTGGTATTGATTTGATACTCTGAAGTTATTTTATTTTAAAAATTATTATTATTA